GGGTCGTTCTTTTGGTCTGTTTCTTTTGGTCGTTCTTTTTCCCCTTGTGATTTGGGCCCAAGTGTCTTCTGGGAACACATTTTTCCTCAAGGGTAGGATTTAAAGGAACAGAAAAGACTTTTATATTTCTGTGTTGACTCTCAAATTAGTGTATAATGCAAATATCCAGAAGAACAGGAAGAAGAAAGAGAGTCAGAGGGAAGGAATTTCAGCTCACTGGCCGTTTTCTTCTCTGCTGCGCAGCCATATAAATATTGGGGCAAAAGTCTTAGTGAAAGGAGCTATATGCGACACACACAAACATACATCTGCTCATCTGTGCAGAAATTGGAGGAGAAAAAACTCTTCGCTTATCTCCAGGCTTGCACATGGCTGAGAGGTAGCGCTGTTGTCAATGCGCGGGGGTTGGCCCATGGGGCTAACATCTGCTGCTATTGTGGACTTGGCTCTGTCACCATACTTATTCTCTGTCTACTAAATCTGCCACATTCAACCAGAGCTCTAGCCCACAAACTATCTACACATCAAGTGTCATAGTTTAGCAAGTGAATGTTGGACAGAACGGCCGGGTGTGAAAATGGGGCCAAAGAGCCAAAGGATCTGTTCCAAAATCTAGCGAGTTGCCTCACCACCTACGTAGACAGCATTCTAACCAGCATGAATCAACAGAAGTGGCCAATTTGGAACGCTCTACATAGAAACATCCACATTTTACATGAGCGTTAGCATGCTGCTAAGCTAACAACACAGTATTTTAGTAAACATGAAAACACGGCACACTAATTTGGGGTAAAATATTCTATAACTTGTCTAAACTTGACTAGTTATGAGCTACTCATTTAAAAAAAAAGCTACACTACATAATACTAACACAAATCTGAATCTTTATTAAGTGAATCATCTGAGTGAACAGATTCATTCCAGTGAATCAGAATACCCAACTCAAACAAAATTCTAATTCAAATAACCAAATACTGTAGAAAACATACTTGGAAAAAAAGATGGAAGGGTTTTGATGAATCTACAAATATTTTTGAAGCACTTTCTGAACCATCTGAATAAACAGATTCACGTAAATGAATCTGATTTCCCAACTCAAATTTAGTTAATTTATATTACTAAGTAGAAAACATTGTGATCACTGCCAAAAAAAAAAAACTTTGATCCAGTTCATTTAAATGAGCCATTTGAATGAACATATTTACTCAAATGAATCAGATTTCTCAAGTGCAAATCCATATAGCCAAGTGATCTCTATAAAACATAGTAATCATTATTATAAAAAAAA